AAGTTTAATATCTTAATTTTGTTGCATCGTACAGTTATTTGTGATGTATTTCTACTACTTAACTCCTTAATGACACTGACGGTCAAACTGAATGAGAAACTGATTTAGAGTAATGTCTTCCTCCATCTTAGGTTATGTTTATCAGGAAGTTTTATTTTGTTCTACTGTAATGTCACTGAACCTGTTTGATCACTACTGAACAGAACACACACGAATTCCGATATGAACTTCCTGACATATATAATTTCATAAAACTGAATTTGGTTTGTTCACACATCTGTGACAAGATCAGATCTGAGTCAATTGGTGGGAAAAAATCTGATTTGAGTCACTTCAGCAGGTAATGTGAACACTGCTGTAGTGGGGCAGCTAGCAACACTGAAAGTAATGGCTGCCCAGTGGTTATTGCAGGTACTTGTTCATTTTTAAAGCTGAAGATAAATAATCTGTGTAAGGTCTCCGCTGATAAAGGGTTAGAAAGCCTTTCTTCTGGGAAGACTGTGATGACTCATGATTCCATGAATTACAAATCCAATTTACATATTTTACTACTGAGGCAAATCTAGCAAATACAACCAGGGTGGAAAAAATTATTACAACATTAGTGTGTTAATGTACAAACTTTTAAACGTATTAAACCACCACCAAACACAAAAAACCAACACCAACAAAACAACAGACAAGAGACAAAGGGAGAAACATGAACCTGAGTTTCCATCAAAGTAACTTTATTGCAAATGGCAAAACTATATCAACTTTTGTATCCTCTGCTTGCTTCATTCAAACTGTTAACACACATTTGTCTCTATAACACAGTTGTATTTGTATTTCATCTGTCAAGTCAGCAACAAGTACAGAAAGGGCATTTTACAGATGGCTGGCGCACAGTGCATACTGGCCCACTATGAGGGGGTAGTGGGTGGTAGAACATATCTTGTACAAATCCCACCTTGTCAAGCAAAATGATAAGGTGCTTCAAGACACGTTCTCTAACCCTTTCCCTGTTTTGATTTGTACATGTATCAGATTTTGATTGTGCTTTAATTGCTTCCTCATTTTTAAACATTTTGCTTACACTTTCCACTTCAGCACAGTTGCCACAAACCCACATTTTGCTTTTCTCATCAGCTTCTTCTCTTTCTGTTGTCAGGCCAAACAAATCCCTACATGATTTGCAGGGAGGCTTTGGCTTTCCATCACTGAGGTTAAATGCTTTGCACCTGACTTTCTCTGGAAGTTTGATGGTTGCATCACAGTTTGACATTCGGCCGGGGTAGCGGGTCATCACTGCATCAGCTATATCACTGTCCCAGTAACCAAAACAGCAGGCAGCAAGCATAATTTGCCCAGGAGTCTTCCCACATGTGGACATGGAGACTCCATAGTATCTGACTGAATCTGGGCTCTCAGTGCTCTGAGAGACACAGATCACAGATGAGATTAGATGTTTCTCTCTACCAGCAGACTGTACTGTAATGTCAGACAGTTGATGGTAGAGCTCTCGCAGCCTGTTTATTATTGTATCTTCGTTCCTTTCACCAGTCAGGTGAACAACCTGCAGGCAATCACAAAAATGATCAAGCATATGTTATCCTTACAAATGGTGCATAATTTACTGAGTCATGCCTTGTGTTTGTGAAACAATGTACATTCATCATTAACTGTAACATCAGAGAAACTTTACATCCTTTGACAAAATCATAATCTTACCATGTCAAGCACACATGAAAATGGACTCCGCCTGGGTAGTCGAGAGGAATAGAGATCAAAAGGCCGAGGGTAGTTCACCTTCAACTCATTTAACATTTCTTCATCTTTCATAATCTTTTCTGGGAAAAATCGCGGGTCATTGATCTTTCCCAGAAAGAAGATGCTGTGAAGAACCTGTAAAGTCAGAACGCATTCAAAAGACATCATTTTCTGTGTTGTTTGTAAGAAGCAGTAAACACACTATAACAAAATCATGTATTATATTCAAAAAGACAACATTTCAAAGGTTCATAACAGCCCCCATCAAACATACCTCATCCACTAATTGTGTAGCATAGTCTATATCATTAGAAGTGTTGCTCATTTCCACCATTTCGTGAATAATTGTGAGAGCACGTTCTCTGAAAACCGTGTCACTTTCCAGCACTTGTTGTGTTCTAAAATAATAAACATCAATTGTTATTAAAGACTTAAAAAGCATTATGCAAAAATCAGTACCTGTGACTGAATCAGCACTGACTCACCTCATGCCCTGTTGAGTAGCCTGATGCAATCGAAAATATAATGACACATTATTACACATTTGACTGACAAGAGAATAAATTAGAACTGTAGGAGCTGAATCATAAGGATAGACAATACAGGCAAAGGAAACCACTTAAAAGCAGCTACTCACCATTGTCAGTGATAAGGTAATGAAACCCTTTCCCTTAAATCAAACTTTTCTGCCTTAGTTGGTTGCAGGAAACTGAAACCAAACTACAACTCACATTAACAACGTGATTATAATAATATATACATGGACTCCTTTCCATCTATTGGCTGCATCAAGAATCACAATGGTGTGATCTATCCTTAGTGTGTTCCACTCTTCATAAAATTGAATTAGGTTTGTTCACACATCTGTGACAAGATCAGATCTGAGTCACTTGGTGGGAGAAAATCTGATTTGATTCACTTCAGCAGGTAACGTGAACACTGCTGTAGTGGGGCAGTTAACAACACTGAAAATAATGGCTGCCCAGTGGTTGCTCCAGGTACTTCTTCATTTTTAAAGCTCTAAAGATAAATAACCAGTGTAAGGTCTCTGTTGATAAGGGGTTAGGAAGCCTTTCTTCTGGGAAGACTGATGACCCATGATTTCATAAATTACAAATTCATAAAATTATTGCCAACTTTGTGCTAATAAGCATAATATTACATATTTTACTTCTGAGGCCAATCTAGCAAATACAACCAGGGTGGAAAAATGACTACATTAGAGTGTTAATGTACACATTTTTAAATGTATTAAACCACCACCAAACACAAAAACCAACAACAAAACAACTGACAGAGACAAAGGGGGAAACATGAACCTGAGTTTCCATCACAGTAATTTTATTGTGAATGGCAAACATATATCAACTTTTGTACCCTCTGCTTGCTTCATTCAAACTGTTAACACACAGTTGTCTCTATAACACAGTTGTATTTGTATTTCATCTGTCAAGTCAGCAACAAGTACAGAAAGGGCATTTTACAGATGGCTGGCGCACAGTGCATACTGGCCCACTTTGAGGGGGTAGTGGGTGGTAGAACATATCTTGTACAAATCCCACCTTGTCAAGCAAACCGATAAGGTGCTTCAAGACACGTTCTCTAAATCTCTCCCTGTTTTCATTTGTACATGTATCAGATTTTGATTGTGCTTTAATTGATTCCTCATTTTTAAACATTTTGCTTACACTTTCCACTTCAGCACAGTTGCCACAAACCCACATTTTGCTTTTCTCATCAGCTTCTTCTCTTTCTGTTGTTGTCAGGCCAAACAAATCCCTACATGATTTGCAGGGAGGCTTTGGCTTTCCATCACTGAGGTTAAATGCTTTGCACCTGACTTTCTCTGGAAGTTTGATGGTTGCATCACAGTTTGACATTCGGCCGGGGTAGCGGGTCATCACTGCATCAGCTATATCACTGTCCCAGTAACCAAAACAGCAGGCAGCAACCATGATTTGCCCAGGAGTCTTCCCACATGTGGACATGGAGACTCCATAGTATCTGACTGAATCTGGGCTCTCAGTGCTCTGAGAGACACAGATCACAGATGAGATTAGATGTTTCTCTCTACCAGCAGAGTGTACTGTAATGTCAGACAGTTGATGGTAGAGCTCTCGCAGCCTGTTTATTATTGTATCTTCGTTCCTTTCACCAGTCAGGTGAACAACCTGCAGGCAATCACAAAAATGATCAAGCATATGTTATCCTTACAAATGGTGCATAATTTACTGAGTCATGCCTTGTGTTTGTGAAACAATGTACATTCATCATTAACTGTAACATCAGAGAAACTTTACATCCTTTGACAAAATCATAATCTTACCATGTCAAGCACACATGAAAATGGACTCCGCCTGGGTAGTCGAGAGGAATAGAGATCAAAAGGCCGAGGGTAGTTCACCTTCAACTCATTTAACATTTCTTCATCTTTCATAATCTTTTCTGGGAAAAATCGCGGGTCATTGATCTTTCCCAGAAAGAAGATGCTGTGAAGAACCTGTAAAGTCAGAACGCATTCAAAAGACATCATTTTCTGTGTTGTTTGTAAGAAGCAGTAAACACACTATAACAAAATCATGTATTATATTCAAAAAGACAACATTTCAAAGGTTCATAACAGCCCCCATCAAACATACCTCATCCACTAATTGTGTAGCATAGTCTATATCATTAGAAGTGTTGCTCATTTCCACCATTTCGTGAATAATTGTGAGAGCACGTTCTCTGAAAACCGTGTCACTTTCCAGCACTTGTTGTGTTCTAAAATAATAAACATCAATTGTTATTAAAGACTTAAAAAGCATTATGCAAAAATCAGTACCTGTGACTGAATCAGCACTGACTCACCTCATGCCCTGTTGAGTAGCCTGATGCAATCGAAAATATAATGACACATTATTACACATTTGACTGACAAGAGAATAAATTAGAACTGTAGGAGCTGAATCATAAGGATAGACAATACAGGCAAAGGAAACCACTTAAAAGCAGCTACTCACCATTGTCAGTGATAAGGTAATGAAACCCTTTCCCTTAAATCAAACTTTTCTGCCTTAGTTGGTTGCAGGAAACTGAAACCAAACTACAACTCACATTAACAACGTGATTATAATAATATATACATGGACTCCTTTCCATCTATTGGCTGCATCAAGAATCACAATGGTGTGATCTATCCTTAGTGTGTTCCACTCAAATATCAGACAACTATTTTGATCATTGCTGAACAGGATGTTTGTGTGTGTGTAGCTACAGGAAGGGGTGGTAGAAACACATGAAGAGCACGAATGTCAGACAACTAGTTTGATCATTGCTTAACAGGATGTCTGTGGGTGTGTAGCTACAGGGAGGGGTGGTAGAAACACATGAAGAGCACAGACACAAAGTCATATCTAAACCACTGAGTGGAGAGTGGCTCTATGAAACTAAAAACTTAAAAAAAAGGACAGATTTATTAACATAAATGCAAATTATGGCAACTTTTTTTAGCTAGAGAATGATTTCACACCTGTGTGTGACAGGATGCCTGTACAACTGGTGTGTTACTAAAAATGATGCCATTAAACAAAAGATAAAAAGTCACTGAGCTAAACTGAATGGAGCAATGGAAGACCCTGGGTAAGAAACTGAGATGTAACTGATATGTTTAATGATCCAAATGTGGGTTCATTTCTCAGCATGACTGATATTAACTGAAAAAATGGTATTTTGTGTGGTTTTCAAGATTTCTGAGTCACAAATCAGGGAGATTTATCTCCCTAGCATCTCCTTAGTCTTCACTCCACCAACCCCAACCTCCTCTGCCAGCCCTCATTGGCAACATTGACAGCTTTTCTGATTACCTGCACTATTTTTGTAATAAAGACTTTGATCAGTACTGTGGTGTCTGCCAACTGAGTCCAAACTGCTTGCTCACCTTGCCCCTGCAAGTGAGCCATCATAACAAAACTGGTCTACACAGAGGGGTTTTAGGATAAATTTTAATTTCTCATCAGTGATTTATAAAATTTATCTTCTGAAAATATATTTTTAGAAACTGTTTTAAACAGCACAAGCAAAACTCAGTGTAGTCTTATTGATTTGGAGCAGAGGCACACATTTCATAAATTGGTATAAAAGGCAGGAAACAGCATATTTTCTCACTGATGTATTTGTGTTTTGGGAACCAACGCTTTCATCAGCTAAAATGAACTTCCTCATATCTTGTAGCACGTTTATGTTCATTTCAGTGAGTGTACTCTCTATTCTTTATGCTCTTCATTTCCAGACCATCTGAATATTCCAAAACAGTATGTTACTTAACTGTAATGTAACCCTTGTCACCAACAAGAGATGACATGTAACCTGGAAAAAGTTATTCCCTTAATTCTAGACAATATCTGTCAGGTCCGCTCAGCGCGACCTGCCTCTCTTCCGCCTTTCTCTCCTCTGTTCTCTCGACCTGCCTCTCTTTCCCCTCCCCTTTTTCCCCCCGCCCTGCCTCTCTTCCACCTTTCTCTTCTCTCCTGTGTTCTCTCGACCCGCCTTTCTTCCACCTTTCTCTCCTCTG